CAGTTTACTGGCAACCTAAAGCCACGCTGCTTCTCTCATGATTGGGCCATTCCTTTGACATCAGAGAATTTCTCAGAAACTACAAGACCGCATCAAAGGTTCAAATGTGAAAATGACTTTTATCTGCCTTGGTGTGTGTGTGTGTGAACGAATGGCTTTGAATTTGTTAGGTGCTGATTGAAGGAAGTGAAAATGCATATTTGTCAACTGCTTTTTGCTGAAGGTCAGCGGAAAAGCATTGTAATGTCATAAAATGTTCTTTTAGTTGTCTTTTGCTGAAACAATATTAACAATTTGCTCTTAATAACTAAAAATGCTCCATAAACATGATGAGCAGGAACATTTTGAGTATTCATATTTTCAGGGCAAACAGCAGCATTTTTAAATCTCGAAAGTAAAAATGAAATGCTCACTCTCAGTCCCTTGTTTTGTGTGCCGCCACAAATTGTTGTGTCCCACAAAATATATAAAGTGCTCTCATTCAAAGGAGCATTTTAAGTTTAGATTGCCGAAAATCGCATTCAGATTACACAGCAGGTAGCCTATATGTATTGTTCATTGTGCTATTTTGACATGTACTGTAAGTGCATCATAATGATTGTACTGCCTGTTCTCTTTTGATTTGGAAGAAAATTTCACGCCACACTACATGAGGTACAAACATCCAACTAAATAAAGGCTCAGAGACACCTGAATGACTGAATAGGGTTTTCTTTCTAGACAACCCAGACTCGAATGTGTCTTGTCATTACTTTTTGTGGAACATCTTTACAGATTCTCATTCTTTTCATTGTCCGTATTTGCATAGTCCTGTTCAGACTCGTGGGGAGCTGGGCCCAGCATGAACTGTGAAGACGTCAAGGAAACAAGCGAGACAGGTCACCAGTCTGAAGGGGAAAAGTTACACAGACACACCTTTGGGCGACTGAAGGCCTCAAATTCACCTGATTTGCATCTTTAAACTGCTGTAAAACAGTTGAACACACAGAGAACATGCAAACATGCAAATTTCACACACACCAGTACAGATCCAGGTTTGTTCTACAGAACAGAAGCAACCATTTCTGGTAATCCTGAAGACATTTATGAAGCATTTCTGACGAGTTAAAGGGCTTATCTAAATGAAATAGTAATTGAAGCATTAATAATTCATGATCATTTCTCCATTTAGGCACATGCCATGACAATTTGCTGGATGTAACATCTCCGTCCGAAAGCCCTCGCAGGCAGCAGCTGATGGTTTTATTTCCATTTTTATGCACATTGTTATACTTTTGTAATTCAAGCAATCTCTCATACAGTAGCTGCTGTGTAATTTTTGGAGAAAAGGCAATTCTGGGGAGATGGTGTAGATACTGATGAAAGAAACAATAATATGTGTTGCCATTTCTTTCATCATAATCTCATAGAAAAATCCATTTCAGTTAAGAAGACATGTCAAAATCTGTCCAACTATTGGAGGAATCCCTTCATGCTGCTGTCTGTCTTACTTGATAGTGTAAAAAAGACATTTCAATTGAACTGACACACACAGTTCATATGTATGGTTATGTGTTCATAGCGTATGTATGAGGTTGCTGTGGTATATGTGGGAGAAAAGTCAAAGAAAAAAAACACACAACATGCAGCACAATCAGATTTGTAGTTGTAGATAGTTGTCCATGAAAACCCACACTATCAGGGCAACAATCATTTTATCTCCTTGTATCTCCTCTGTACCCTCTCCGCTGGCACACAACGCACCTCTCGTAATGTTCGCTGACCCCTACAGGACTCTGCTGTGTCTCAATTCCAGTCTTGGGAACTTTTCAAGGAGGTGCATTTGAATTCTCACCAGCATATAGGCATGGATGGATTGCTGAATGGGCCTAATGGGTACAGGCCCAGGGGCCCGAAAGTGTCAGTGTCCCCCCTGGCCTTCACCTGCGAAATGTCACTCAAATTAACTTATACCAACTGGGAAGAGACTCAAAATGATGACGGAAAGATGGAAATAACAGCAAAGAGACACAAAATCACCTCAAAGAGACACAAAATGACTACAAAGAGACACAAAATGACTACAAAAAGAGGCAAAACAATCACAGAGACACATAATTACAATAAAGAGACATAAAATTATCTCAAAGAGAAACAAAATGACCTCAAAGAGACTCAAAATTGCCACAAAGAGACACATAATCACCTCAAAGACACACAAGATGACTACAAAAAGAGGCAAAGCAATCACAAAGAGACACAGAATGACCACAAAGAGACACAAAATTACCACAGACACCAAAATCCCCTCAAAGACACATCAAATGACAACAAAGAGGCAAAACAATCACAAAGAGACACAAAATGACCTCAAAGACACACAAATGACTACAAAAAGAGGCAAAACAACCACAAAGACACATAAATTTACCTCAGAGACCCAAAATAACCACAAAGAGACACAAATTCACCTCAAAGAAACACAAAATGACTACAAAAAGAGGCAAAACAACCTCAAAGTGACACAGAATTACCACAAAGAGACACAAAATCACCTCAAAGACACACAAAATGACTACAAAAACAAGCAAAACAATCACAAAGAGACACAAATTTACCTCAGAGACCCAAAATAACCACAAAGAGACACAAAATCACCTCAAAGACACACAAATGACTACAAAAAGAGGCAAAACAACCACAAAGACACACAAATTTACCTCAGAGACCCAAAATAACCACAAAGAGACACAAATTCACCTCAAAGAAACACAAAATGACTACAAAAAGAGGCAAAACAACCACAAAGAGACACAAAATGACAACAAAGAGACACAAAATGACCACAGAGACACAAAATCACCTCAAAGACAAACAAAATGACTACAAAAACAACCAAAACAACCACAAAGAGACACAAAATTATCTCAAAGTGACACAAAATTACCTCAAAGAGACACAAATGTCTACACAAAACCAAGATGGGTAACGACTACAAAGATGGAGAGCTGGTGGGGTCTTTTACATATCTGTGCATTGTCTCCTAATCCACCCGTGCAGATAGGAAAGTTTGCAGCACAAGAAGGTCCAAATTTTAATTCACCTCTCAGGTGGCACTCATTTAATCATTTTTTATTTGCAAAAAACTGAAGAAATAATTAACTGAAGCTTAATTAAGAATAAGATTTTCCCAGTGAAATGGTGATACATGAATATTAATGTACCCAAAAAAGTCAGTGGGCACCTTCTAAATCTGTACAGCACCCCCACTCCTCGCGCTCTCCCACCGCTCAGACCATCTGAATCCCTGACGACTGGTCTGTTTTTAGCCATGCTGGATGGAGGCCTGGCACGGTGTGCGGGGGAGGCCGGACCAGTGGGGATGTCCTGGTGCAGTCTGTCCTCTGCTGTACGCTGGACTCCTGGCCATCCCATATTAATCAGATTTGCTGCAGCAGCCATATGTCCAAGCAGCATGATAAACCCCGGCTGCTACCTGGCACCCACAGGACGCACTGTCAACACAGTGTGTGTATGTGTGTCTGCATGGGTGTGTGTATTTCACACATCGTTCCTCTGGAGACATTCCCTCAAAGATCTGTTGAGATGTCAAACATGTCATTGGCGTGAGGCTTTGTCTGTTTTTAATTATTCTTGAGGATGCCCTGAGTAAAAGAAAAATGCATGAGTGAAGAAAAGGGCATCAGAGGTAACCCTGAAGGAGGAGGAAGTCATTTTGGGGCCAAGTGATGATTTGCCACACTGTTTTGGAAATACATGGGGCTATTTACGTCACACTGCAACAGGAAAACTGGCACTATGGACCTGCACTTAAAAAAAGCCTCATTCCTGTTCCCATCTGTCACCTTATGCTTAACAACACATTATATATTTCATATCCTCACATGATTCACATCCCAAGGTGTCACATATTTTAGACACTGTTTGTATCACACTGTTTAACAGCATTGTGGAGAATCTCGCCCTTGCATTAGCACTGGTGACACAGATAGGAGGTTGGTGATACAAAGACTGACTGAATATCATTTCTTATCTGAAGCTTTCTATTAAATTCCACACAAAAAAAAATGTATTCCACAATCCATAATTCATAAACGAATCTCGCAAGAGGCAACACCAACACTTGTCAAACATGATTAACTACGTCTGTATCTTACACAAATTTAATTCCTCTCTGTGTCTCTGCCTGTAAATCAGCGAACAATCACTGGTGAGCCCGCTCGCAAGATTTGTGGCGGAGGTTTTTCAGGTGACACAGATAGGATTATCGGGTAAAAATAAATAAATAAATAAAACAGTTCCTGGGATTCAAACAACTTTTTTTGAATGAATGAATAAAAACTTGCTGTTTAATTGAAAAAGAGTGAAGAGTGTGCAGAGCAGTGCTTATGCTTCTGTTATAATGAGGGCAGATGTTGTTATTGCCATCTACTGTCTACAAAAGACAGAGAGCGGCGTGCACAGTACAGATCACAGTAATTACTATGAGCAAGTATTCAAAATAAACATACTGGCATTTAGATAATGTTGTGTATTAGTGTGTGTTTCATTATATTTTCCCATAATTCTGCAAGAGAAATAAACACAACCGAGGCAGAGTGTAACTTTAATGAAATTAAGCTTTATTGTGGATTTCAGCTGCAAAAAAGATCAACTAAGGTCAATTTGCATCATGCAATACATTCAAATCTTCAGTTTTAAGATACAAAAAAACTCCACAATATCAAAAATATCTTACAGTGCTGCAATGTGACACACAAAAATTACATTTTATTAAGCACATTAACACAAATTATTTTCAACAAGGCACCTAAACGCTCTCAGATGACATTATAGTCGCTCAATCATGCAAGGTAGACTCTTCTCCTCACTACCCACCCTCCCATGTGTGTGCGTGTGTGTGTGTGTGTGTGTGTGTGTGTGTGTGTGTGTGTGTGTGTGCCCCCTTACTGCCGCTCAACCCCCTCCCACCACCATCCATCCACCCACCCTTACACTGACATACATCTGAGCAGGACCCTGCACCTTTTGTCTTGGGCTCCCTCTTTGTTAGCAGCTGGTGGACAGAGCAGCAGCCTGCAGCAGCAGCAGTAGCATGTACACTTTACAATAACAGAGTAATGACAACATGCTGCAACATATCGGCCATGTTTATGTGTGAATGAGGTGCAGGATTAATTATGCAAAATGTATTGTTGGGGTTTTATTTGAATAAAGATGATAAAGGGGAGAGAGTGGTGATAATTAGATGGAGGCTGTGTGTGTTTTTAAACATATATTTCTATATTTTATTATGAATGTGTTTAAATATTTATTTTTAATTCATTGTGGTGGTTTAAATTCTGTATCTATCTATCTATCTATCTATCTATCCATGCTGTCTGTCTGTCTTGTTTTCTGTCTGGCTGAAGTGTGAAGCAGCATCATCATCATCACCAAAGTGAACTGCAGATAACCCCATGACGTGGCAGACACACTATGGAAAGCCTATATAAAATTCACAGAGCCCCGCATGTATCTGGTGGTGGTCTGAGCCGCTGATAAGGCTTTGCAGGGCGATCTGACTTCAGTCTAGATGAAGGATGAGCTTCTCAGACATAGACGTTGTCCATCCTGCTGATGCTCCCTCGTCTCATCGTAAACTCTTGTGCACCCTCTGGTGCTTGCTAGTCTCCCAAACTTCTTTGTGTAGCCTGCTTTGCAGATTGTCTTCCTTGTCTGTGTGGTTGCTCATTATTCAGAGACAGACGGATCTCAGGTCATCTGCAGCTGCAGCAAAGGAGAAGCAGGAAAGATGGCGATCATCCATTAGACCGACCGGGCGCACGCATGAAATACGAGGACAACTTTTGGGAGGATCGCTTGAGGAGAAGATTGTACCAGTGAGTTTTTTCCTCTTGCACTATATTTCCAGTTTCGCCAAGATTTCGGCTGGGCTTTCAAGGTCTGCGAGAACGTCGGTATGGTAGATCATGGGATATAATTTGGAGAGCGCCTCGTGAATGACCTGGAAAGAGCTGATCCCCCCCGCCTCCACCACCTTTTCTCCTTTTAGTCCAGGTCCAGCCGACTTGGGAGAGGAAGCCGGGGCGAGATTTTAGTCGGTGGGCGCTCCGGCTGGCACCCATGCAGCCAAAGTCAAGTGGGTCTTCTCGCTTCCCAGTTAATATCCTAACCAACCTACCGCGTCCTCGCTATGTCGCCTTTCGGTCTGTTGTCAAAGTGACACAAGGAAATGGACGCGGCGGTGTAAAGAGGGGTCGCCTGCGTGTTTCAGCAGCACCGGAGCGGAGTGTTTTGTTATTCTGACATGTCTGGTCAGGGGAATTGTTGGCCCCGGCTGTGCGTCCCCTCTCCGGCCGTGCGTGTTGTTGCGCGTTAGCTTCATGGAGAAGCCATTGCACGGATTGCTCTCCTCTCCCAACCAGCCTCCATTAGCGACACAGAGGAGCTGGCATAGCCGCTGGTCCAGTCACACACACTCACACACTCACACACACACTATGAAAGCCATGTCCAGTGTGAGGAAGCAGCTCCTCTCAGCTTTTTAAAAAAGAAAGCTTATCTGGTGGCGATTGTGAGTCCACAGGGTTGGAGCTAGATGTCTCTTCATGGTGGTGGCTTTATATATATTTTATTCTACTGTTTTGTTTTTGCTCTCATTGCTAGGCTACGTTGTTAACCCGCCTGTCCCTGTCCCCCCCTCTCCTCTCTGCACTGTTTGGATGCTTATTTGCTGTCACTGGTCTCAAGTCAGGTATGTCATACTAGTAGGGCTTCACCATAAAATGGAGGAAAGCAGATGAGTCTCCAAGGAGAGCCCTGGAGTCAGACAGGCAGTATCCCTCACGCCAGAACAAAGGTTGTGTTCATAAATGATCGGCCACAACCTTCTTCTTCTTCTCCTCCTTCTACTTCTTCTTCTTTTTTCTGCTTTTTTCACCTCGGAAGTTGAGTCTGCTACAGGAAGCAGAAGAACTCTGAAAAGTGAGGTTAGATCCTTTGAAGGTTAACTCCATGGACTAACTTGCTGCTTTCATTTTTGCATGATTAAACACAATTTGGCTTGTGAATATGTGGGATTATATTTTTGTCCCCTGTGTGGCTTGCAGATGACACTTTTGGACAGGACGTGTTTGTGATTATGATGGCCGAGGGACACGTGGATGAGATAGGAATTTTAATGCTGAATAATGCAGTGTTTTGGCCATGCAGGTAGTTAATGTTCAACAAAGTAGTCTCAACACACACACACACTCTCTGTCTCCTCTGTGTGTGTGCGTGTGTGAGGGAGTGAAGTAATGGCTGCAGTTTCTTAAAGGAAGTTCTCAAGATGATTCTCTTTTTGTGTTTTGGATGACTTTTTGTGCGTCAGCTGTTGTTGAAGGCTTTAAATCGAAAAGTAAAGTGTTTATGGTGCTACTCGTAATTTGTAAACTAATTGTTTACACAGGAGTTAGTGGAGCCTGCTGTTTATTGGCTGGCAAACGTGTGTTTGTTATTGTGAGGTTGCCTAAATACTTTAAAAGTTATTCAGACAAATGGATTAGGTCCATTTATGACCCATGTTGCAATGCACCCTGTGTCCACTGTACAGCCTTAGGTGACTTTTCACACATTATATCCTAAAGGTGTCTGTTGACCAGCCTGTCAGGAGAGCGAAGGAGGCGTGTTTTGCAAGCTGTAGTGTGTTCCTGTGGCAGTTACTGTGTGTGTATGTGTGTGTGTGTGGCTGTGCTACGCTCTGCAGTTCCCCTGGCCACTGTGTGAAATCTTGCTGACAAGGAGACTGTGAGCTTGACACACTGTGCTGCGACAATGCTGGGGCTGAGAAGAGCAATCAAAATGGTGGCGATGCTCCTTCTCCCTGGCGTGGCAGGGCAAACAGGTTCTCAAGGAGGAGCCGACAGAGGACGGCCGAGCAGGAATCTGCTGCGGTCGACACATTTGTCTCACAGACGGGTGCAATGGATATGTAGTCTGGTGGATGGTGGATGTTCTGCAAATGAGCCCAGTGATTTAACTCTGGATGTGATTGTGATGTTTCTCTCTGGGATACTGTCTGTCTGCTGTGTCTCTGCGCACTCAGAGCTCCTGTAGTAACTTTCACAAGCCTTCAACACATTCTTGACTCTTTCTCGATTGTAAAGCTTATTCGTGCGACACTGGAAGCTAATCTGTGTGCTCAGGTTTTCACTTCAACTCACCAGCTAAGGTCATGAAGGTCGGGGGTGTTTGCTTTTGCTGCAGCAGAGATGGCATTTCTGGTACTTCTATAGTGTTGTAGTGTTACAATAAACCAAGGCTGGATTACTGACATGGGTATAGTAAGGAAGTGAACAGGGGCCCCAGGTTCTCAGAGGCCCCTGAAATCCCCAGGTTCTCTTTGTGGCAATTACTTTGTTGTCATTTGATTAATTATTTTTTTCTTTCTGGTAATACTCACCACTAAAGTAAATTAAAACCTGGAAAGCACAGAGCCCCAAGGTGGCTCCTGACTTTTGACCTCATCTTGAGGCCCCATCCTGTAGCGAGCCTTTGTCTATACTGTAAAGTTGAAACTACAGATGTCATGATATATTGGTTTTGACAATAACCATGATATTTAAAAAAGAAAATACTGATATCATTTTAATCATACATGCATGATTATATATTGTACATTTTTCAGAGCCTCTTGAATGATTTCACTTTGTCTCCCTCCCCAACTACCTGCAATCATATTTTGAGTGCTATTCGTTTACCAAAAATGAGACAAAACATATAAACAAAGTTAAAGATGACTCTCAGTAAAATTATTTTTTTCTCCAAATTCTCTATTGATATCAATATTGTGATTTTTTTGGGCCTGATTATCATGTAGTGAAAATCTGGTACCATGCCAGCCCTATAGTTGAAATCATTAGTTGAATAATCAGTTAACAATTTGTTTTATATAACTGTAAACTGATATAATTACAAACCGTTGCTTTTCTTTGTTATATAATGTATTGGTAAATTGAATATTTTTTTATTTTAGACTGTCAATCAGACAAAACAAGACATATGAATATTTGGCCATGGGCTTTGGAAAATTGACAAAAAGATAAGTGATAAAATCAACGTAAGCTGCAGCCCTACTAAATTTAAAGTAAATTTAGTTGATATTCTGCTTGCATGATGTATATCTTTAACCAAATAGTGCAAAGGTCGCAGTAACATTAAATAATAGCATGGTGATTTGCCGAACTTGTTGTGGATTTGTGATGCCAGTGTCCTTTGGCGTTTCTGGCACTCAACTTTCACATGTAGTCAAACTGTTGCTTGACTGCTGGTGACTGACGATAAATGAGAGCGAATCAGAGTCACAAAACCATCGCTAAGTTTATAACTAATAATAATTGATGTTGATGCATAATGAATAATGTTGGATACTTTCATCATTTCTGGGCTATTTGGGAATTGGTGAGTAATTTATATGTAAATAAATAGAGCATTTGACTACCAATTTGGACCTCAATTACCATGGCAACCACAGAAGCTTCAAAGCCTTCAGGTCAGCCCTACATGTGTTTAATCAGTTGAAACTAACTGACACACAGTCAGCCTGGAGCTCGCTTCTCCAGAGTCGAAATACAGGTTGGTTTCTTGAACTTTAGGCAAAACGTGTTGTTTATCCAGCTCTTCCTCAAACATCATCGTATTTCTACAGTAAAGTGCCGTAATTTGTTAAAGGTATACTCTGCAGGATTACACTAAAAATGTATAGACTCACGCAAAAGTAAGTAGGCCTAGTCCCTCAATCATCACTCATGACCCGCCAGAAGTGTGTGGTGGTGTATGTATCTGCAGAGACTGTACAAACAGTAGCTTAAGATTTCTACCTTTAAACATGCTCTATGTGAAATATATTTACACAGCCTTGATTTATTATATGTTTAACATAGTATCTTGCAACATGCTATAAGATACTGTCTTTTTTTTTTACTTTTACCTTTGTATAGGAGCTTTAATTTTAATTTTATGGTCCAACTTTTTGCCTGGCTAAGTATTTGTATTGTATTTGGAGGGCAACAAAGGTTACCCAAATCAGACTGGTTGAGTTTTACCTCTGCACAAGCTGTTTCATTCCTATTCTTTACTGCAGTTCAACTTTAAGGTGACAGGGCAGAACTGAACTATGTATGGGAGATACTTTTAGAAAAAAAAAAATTACATAACTGGATTTTTGCAAGGTATTTCAGGATTACGCTTAAAAAGCTCGACAGAGAGGACAGAGGATTAAACAAGAGAGACTTCTGTGATGGTTTGAACGCTGGAAGGAAGTGGTTGTGAAGCTCATCACTCACTCTGATACTCTTTCGGTGTCTCTTGCGTGCACACACGCGCACACACACACACACACACACACACACACACACACACACACACAGATGCACCCCCCTCCCTCCTTCCCTCCCTCCCTCCCTCTCCCCTCATTCACTCACTCACATTGGGTGATGCACTCCTCCATTCTTCTCTACCTGGGGCAGTGAAGAAGGCCAGGGAGACGCACAAAAGCAAATTGAAATGCTCCAGTGAGTGCTTTCTTGACATGATGCATGGCTCATGAGATGCAGCCGGGCCCCGCTGCTACACTTGTAAGTGTGCTGAAACACACAGGCCCCAGATCCAAAACACTATAGTCATTACAGCACAGCAAAAAAAAAAACTCTCTACTTTCCGCTTGCTTTTGACCAACCTCTTTCACCCCGTAAACAAATTTCTTTCATGATTTAGATATTTGGTTTAGATATGAAAGCACGGCATTGTTAGAGTAAAAAAAAACAGCCAGGATCCTTTGAATAATTCAGTGCTGTGTTACTAGGTATAGGCCTATTTGAAACACTAAAAAGCAACATCA